ACAGCCTTCCCTTACATAACTCAACATGCATTTCCACTTTGATATACCTGTTTGTGCAAATAATGTAATGGAAGAGGTTTAGTTAGACAAAAAACTATCATAAAACTTTAAATGACCAGGATTTTCTCCAGGACTGAGGACAAAGGCCCCACGGGAAAAAGGAAAGAGAAAGAAAACTGTAAGGAGTGTGACATGCCAGACCTTATATACATCATCTCTGTCACTTATCTGAACGAAAATGTAAGCAAGCAAATCTTCAAAGGAGCAAACCAAGTTGGGGACCAGCAGTTAGCATAATGTCTATGTCGCTGGAATCCCATTAGATGACCATGGTTCGAGTCCCAGACCCGGTGGCTTAAACTCATGACAGGGGAGTCTGCGTGCCTGCCCAAGATACCAAGAGGGAAATGGAGAAGGGATTGTGGCGTGCCCATCCCGCCCCCTGGGGGGTGGGTGTGATTTCTCGCTGTCTGTCTTTCTGATGAGCGCATGCGCCCTATAGCAAAAACCTCTCACTTATTTAATTTGACCAGAGACACACAGAAAGAAAGAGGGAAATCAAGCCACCAGGTCCGCGACTTGAACTGTGGTCCGCCATGTGGGAGTGTCCAGCACCTTCACCACCATGCCACCTGCTGACCCCTCTCACTTGTCTTTCTCGATCACATGATGACCCCTAGCAGGAAACACGATTTAAAGCATTACTGTTCCCGCCACGCCACAAGGACTTGGTGTTCTGAGACTCTGCTCCACCCTCCACTCCCTGCTCTGTAAGCGCCGAATGAACGATTCTCACAGGAGGGGATGAAGGGAGGCCTCCCCCTTCTCATCTGTACAATGGAGACAGTAAGCCACGGAAAGCCCCGGGCCTGCTGGGAGAACTGAACGGAAGGGAAGGAACACTGCTCTGGCAATAAAGGACCACGGAAACAAAACACGTTCCTCTGAGTCTGCACGGGAGAAGCCAGGCACGAGTATGTTCCTGGTTCGTCATGGAAAACAGGCCCTGCCTCGCCCAGGGCGATGGGAAACTTGGAGCTGTCACACCCGAAGTCAAAGCGGGCAGGAGGCGACCGGCGCCCACCCGCCACCCCGCATGGCGTGACCAGGCGAGGAGGACAGGAGACCGCACGCTGCCCAAGCGCAGGCGGAGAAGTGTGCCCGGGCTCTGTGTACCCGGGAGGGGAGGCCACGCTAGGGCCCGGCGTGATGGAGGACAAGTCCCAGCGCAGTGACGAGGATCGGGGAGGGACCACCACCCAGGCCCGGCAGGCAGGCAGGAAGGGTGGCCTCGGGGCTGGCGCGTGTACGGAAGAGACAGACCTCGATGCCGCAGCGAGGGAGCGAGAGGTGTACCCGTACCGACAGCCAGTCCGCTCCTTACCAGCTCCAAGAGCCTGTCCTGGCGACCCCGGGACCTTGGGCCGACGGAGACACAGCCCGGCACAAGCGGTGGCGAGAAAGATGGAGGTCTCGCGAGAACACAAACTTCCACCCACGCCTCTCGCCGCATTTCTAACAGTGTCGCGAGATCTCGGCTCCGGTCGGCCCACAGCTTATCACTGCCCTCTAGAGGGTACAGCGCGCAGGCGCACATTCTTGTTCTGCCCTTGATCAGGGTCAGTTCACCAACCTTTCCTGAATAAATCCAATTAAATCAAGAAAACATTAAACTGCGAATTTTTTTTCTTTTTTTTTTTTTGGAGAGGGTTTTTTTTCGCTATAGGGCGGCAGCGCGCCAGAAAGACAGCCCCACCCCCACCCCCGGGGATGATCACGCCGCAATCCCTTCTCCTCCATTCTCCTCTCGGGATCTTGGGCACGCACACACACGCGCCCGGCGTGAGTTTTAAGCCACGGGGTCCGGGATGAGAACCACGGTCCACTACGCGGGAGTCCAACGACATAGCCATTATGCTAACTGCTGGTTCCCAGCAAGGCGAATTTTGTGTCAAGGACTGTATTAAGTAATTCTTCCTGGCATAGTCAGAGTCCAGAGACAGAAAGAGTGGGGCCCAGGGCCTGGGCGGAAGGGTGGACCTACAGTTGGGTAGACACACCGTTTCAGGTTGGATGAAGAAGGTTGGGAGTTGGCTGGTGGTGATGGCGGTAGAACAGGCCAAGTATATACTGCCATGAAACGTGCGCTTACAACGTGCTTAAATAGTACATTTCATGTTGAGGAAAGGGTGAGAAGTTTTTATAAAAACATTGAGCAATAAACATGTCAAAGCCCAGATTCTAACCCCCCGTGGTGGGAGTCCCAAGCACACATTCCTTTGCATCATGGGACAGCGTCCCTTTGTCCACGCCCTGCATCCCACGCCCACCATCCCACCTCCTCACACATCCTTCCCAGTGTGGGTTACCTGCATGGAGCCTTTTGCTTACTTACGACCAGATGTTAAAGTGGAATTCTTTCTGCCCCGATTTTGGGATAGGTTCCCACTCAGTGCCACTGCTGCCCCTCATTCCCAGCAAAGAGGATGGTCAGAGGAGGGGTTCAAGGTCCCACCCAACGGGGGCTCCTACAAGGGGCAGGGCATCCTCAGCAGAAAACACCAAGAGCTGCAGAGGCAGAGGCCAAGGGAATAATAGCTTGTGAGCAGGAGGGCAGCTGTGGGGAAAGAGGACCACCAGGGACAGTCCCAGAGGCCCAGAGAGCCCTGCGAGTAAGTCAGCCTGGAGCAGCTGGAAGCTGGAGCCTGGGCAGCAGGCACCGACCCCGCACAGAGCTCTGAACCCTCCTGTCCCCAAGTGCCCCTTCAGTCCAGATGCAGACTGGAATGGGACCTTTCTGTAACCGGGAGTGACCGAAGAACTTTTCCTTATTATATAAAGGTGACTGAAGAAGCTAAGGAGTGGGCCTCTGTTGCTCAACCGGTCCACGTGGCATGTTTGAACACACAGGGTTAGAGGGCAGGGGAACTAAGGCTATTTATCGGTTTTCACTGATTGTTCAACAGATAACTGTCTGCTTGCTGTGATCTGTCACGTCCACAGCCAACTCTGCGCCCAGAGAGAGGCCCCTCACCCCAATCTCACTATTTTCTTGGGGAATCCCCAGGCCCAGAGTGCTGTCTGCCCAGGCCCTGAGGTCAGATCTGCTGAGGGAACGAGCATTCTCTAACAAGAAAAACAGAATCAGCATTGTCGCTGTTTTCATTGCTGTTTGGGGTGGTCTGTGCAGCCATAGATCCCTGGCCCTGCAGCATTTACCGGCCCATCCCCTGGACAAGATGAAGCCCTGCCTGGCCTTTTCACTCCCTGCATGTGGCCTTGAAACCAAGCAAGGACCCCCTAATGTATTTTCTAAGGTTCTTGAAATATAAAGTCCATTTGTATTGTAATGACTCAGAGTAAGAAGTAAGTCTTAAGACTTTGGTTATGATAATGACCAATATGGACCATAAATTAGGGCAATTTGACCTCTAAAACTCCCACTTAAAAGAAAGATAAGGTTTTTATTTCAATATGTAAGATATTTTGTAGGCTAGAAACTGCTGGTTGTGAGCTCAAAGACTCCATGCTGAATGGCTCCAGACACCTGACGAGAAATTTGATTATCTAAGGCCTCATCAATCAAGAATGCCCAGGAGATAACCACGCCCTCTTGAACCAATCACTGGACTGACCAGGCGCCTGGGACCTCTGCCTCTAATTTTGCCCTTAAAAACGTATGTGGGAAACATCTTGGGAGACCAGGGCTTTTCAGCATGAGCTGCCAACTCTTGCTTTGCATTTTGCAATAAAGCTGTACTTTCCTTCATCACACCATGTGCCTACGGTTTGGTTTTATGGTGCTTGGGCGAGCAAACCTGATTTGGTAACAGTCTTGGGAACACTCCTTCAGGCTGGTCTGCTCTGGCCTGAGGCAAACACAGAAGGTATTCAGGAGACAGCTCAGAGGACATTCCCTGAAGAAGGAAGGAAGGATAAACAGAACTATCTCAAAGAAAAGAAGGGATCTGGGGACCAGGAGGTGGTACAGTGGTGGAGCATCTGGACTCACATAGGAAGGGTCCTGGGTTCACATCCTGGGACCTCCCTGAGCATGCTGGCATGAGGACCTGTGTTGTGGGCCGGCTGGGGCTGGGGTGGGTTTCAGCCTGGGGACCCTGTCAGGAGTGCCTGATTCTCGTTCTCTCAGAGAAAATGTATGGACAAACTTAAAAAGAAGAAGGAATCTGATTGAATCTTGAAGATATTTATTTTTCATTGTTCACCAGGTGGCAGGACACAGGTAGCAGGGCAGAGATATGTCACAAGTGGCGGTGATCCCTGAGGAGGAGATGTACGACGACACATTGGAGTGTAGGAAGAACATTATAACTTTAATTCGTATTTTTGTTTCATCCTTTAAAAGATTTTATGCTTGGGGCCAGTAGGTGGCATGGTGGTTGGGGCTCTGAATTCTCACATGGCCGACCACGGTCTGGGTCCCACACCTGGAGGTTTGCTTTCTCACTTTCCCTTTCTCTCTCTCTCTGGACAAACTGAAAAATACTAATAAATAAAATAAATAATTCTTTTTAAATATTTTATGCCTTTTTAAAAATTATTTCTTTTAATTTTACTTATTCCTTCATTTATTTTAATTTAACCAGAGAGAGACACGGAGAGAGAGAGAGAGAGGAAAAGTGAGAAAGGAAGCCACCAGATCCGGGACTCAAACCATGGTTGGCCATATGGGAGTGTCCAGCGCCTTAACCACCACGCCACCTGCTGGTCCCAAAAATATTTTATGCTTTATAAAGAGCAATACAGGTGCCAGCAGGAGGCATGGTGGCAAGGCACTGGATTCCTATATGGTCAACTATGGTTCAAGTCCTGGACCTGACAGCTTGTTCTCTTCCATTCCTTCTCTCCATCTCTCTCTATCTCTGGTCAAATTAAAAACATAATAATGATGAATACATTTTTATAAAAGCAATACATTAATGCACAAATAATTTATAAATGTGAAGTATCCACATATTCAAGTGTTTGCTCAAAAATTGTTTTATTGATAGTGATGGCTACATAATGATAGCCCATACAGGTGTAGGAGAGTGAGGCTGGCTTGGGAGCCCTTGGTCCACAAGAATCGCATTACAATACCCATCCATTGACAGGGCAGGTCTTTTCCGGGTTCTTCCGCTCCACCACAGTATTGCTGCAGGTCTCCTTGTTGAAGATTTTCTGACACTTGACTTCATCATAACCCACAGGTATAGGAACACTGTCATTGAAACAAGACCAGGGCCTGTCAGAAGGCAAAGGGCACCCGACCCCCAAACCCCAGAACCAGCTCTGCGCCAGAAGCAGCGCACACTCCAGCTCCATCGCCATCAGCTGAGGGCATCCCTTAGTTGGCAGTGTCTAGTATGGCCCCAAGAACCTGACTTGTCTGTACCGCGCAGTGGCATAGACCATGCTGACATTGGTCCTGCGCCCCGTGCTGCATGTAAGGAGGGCAGCCTCAGTCCTGATGGACCCAGGGCAGGTCTGGGCTGCTGTGGAGTGGGGCGCTTGCCCCTGCCTGGCATTTCCAGCCCTCCCCTCTCAGGAAGTGGCCAGCAGTACTGCCCTAGGATTTGGGGAAGGACCGTTTGTCGATGCCCTGGCACGGAGGCCTGTGAGAAGAGGAGCTGTCTCAACCAACAGGATCAGTCACTCCAGCGGGGGTCATGGAGCCCAGGGAGAAGCTGGTGAAGCCGGGTCCGCTCCTGGGGAAGATCCCCTCACATTCAGTGGAGCGGGCAATGCAGGGCTCAGTGCCCCCTTGCAGCCCGCCCATGGCCCTGGGTTTAAATCCCCTCTGTCCAAAGTGTGCACAGAAGCAGCCGTCCCCAGTGGCCTCTGTGACAGTGTTTCCTTTTACTTTAACTAAAGATGACATTTCAGTCCTCTTCACAAAGCCATCCTCAGCTAGTGTCCTTCATCCATCCTCACCACCTAGCTTCTGAGACACTGGAATTGGCAAGAAGTCCGGGGCTGGTGAGGCCCTGTCCCTGCCAACCCGCTGTGGAAGCAAACGTTGTGGTTGTACTCCAGCTCCGAGGCTCTCATTGAGTTCATTTTTATTATTTTTTTGGAGAGGTTTTTTGCTATAGTGTGCGTGCGCTTGCCAGAGAGACAGAAAGCAAGAAATCACCCCCCACGGGGGATGGCCACGCCGCAATCCTTTCTCCTCCATTCTCCTCTAGGGATCTTGGGTATGCTCACACACGTGCCCGGCGTGAGTTTAAGACACTGGGTCCAGGACTCAAACCACGGTCAACTATGTTTTACTTTGAAAATATGGGAGAGTGTAACTTAAAACCTTTTAATGTATTAAAGTAGTGGTTAGCTGTGGGAATATAAAACGGGACAGTCTCTGTGGAAAATAGCTTAGCAGTTCTTCAAAAAGCTAAACAGTTACCAAGTAATTTAGCAGTTCTATTCGTAGATAAATATCCCCAAAGAATTAAAAGAGATGTGGGCCAGCCATGTAGCCTAGTGGTTAAGGGAGCTAGAGCCTACGTGGATGACTGCAGTTTGAGTCCTAATCCCCATAGCTGGAAACATGCTGAGTTTACGTGCTTGTGTGCCCAAAATCCCAACGGGAATGAGAACTGGAGGAGAGGGGACGGGGCCGTGACCATGTCCCCTTGGAGGCGCTTCTCTCTCTGGCTCACTCTGGTGAGTTTGCACATTCTCTTGCAATTAAAAAAAAAAAAAAAATTAAAAAGCAGAGACTCAAATGTCCTTGTTCGCTAACATTCATAGCAGCATTTTCAACTGTGCAAGAAGTGGAAACAACTCAGATATTCATTGACATCACAGTGGAGCTGGCCCTGTGACTTGCTGGTCAAGGGAACTAGATTCCACATGGCTGACCACATAGTTCAAACCCTGGCCATGGTGGTTCAAGAAACACACCAGGCATATGTGCATGTGTGTTCAAAGTCCTGACAGGATGGAGAAATGGAGGAGCAATCGCACACAACCATGCCCCATGGGGGGTGTTTCTCCTCTCCCTCTCTCTATCTCTCTTTTGCAAGTTCATGTTCCCTCTGTCAAAATTTAAGTGTACACACACACGCGTATGAATGAATACATAACCAAAATGAGGTGTAACCACACCATGAAGCATTGTTAAGCCATAAAACAAAATGAAGTACAGATGAAAGCTGCCATGCAAGGACACGCTGAGTTATGCTATCCTATGAAATACCTGGAACAGGCACATTTAGAAAGTAGATGAGAGGCGACCAGAGGCTGGAGGAAGGGAGAGCAGGAATTATTGCTTCATGGACACAGTTTCAGTTTGGGATCATTAAAAAGTTTTTGAAATAGTGATAAAAATTGCACAATATTGTGAATGTACTGAATTTTACACGTTAAAATGGTTCAAATGGCAAATTTTATGTAATATGTATTTCACCACCATAAAAAATAGTGTGGCTGTTGGTGAAGGGATACCGACTCTTACAGAATTTTGGTAGGAAATGAGGGTGTTGCTGCGCCATTAGTGTGCAGGTGCAGGTCGCTCTGGCAACTGGCATAGTTCTGGGTCCATACTGTCCCATTCAAACCAGACCTAGCTCTGTAGGCGAACTGGTAGGGTGAGGGCAAACTACAAGCTTCAGGTATCCCGATGTCCAGAGCTGGGGCGATGACCTTGGCCTTTTGCTCCCCATTTCTGCTTCCTCAGCCAGTCAGGAAGCTGGGAAAAGCCTTGGCGGTGTGGGCCTGGGCAGGGTGGAGGCTGGGACATCTCCTACCCTGTACAGGAAAGGTTTCTGGCCTCCAGACCCAGGCTCCACTGCCACTGAGCACTGTGAGACCTGGGCAGTGTCCCTCCAGAGGGCCTGGACCTGGAAACATTTCATCAAGGTGTGTGTGCTGCTATGACCAAAAAATGGAAAAGCTCTGGAGCAAAGCAGACTAGTAGAAGACGAGGCAATTCCACGGAAGGAGGTGGCTGTGACCCATTGGGAGAAATGAGCACAGTGCCCCCGTGTGGAGTTGTGTGCCAAATGGGACAGGCAACATGGCACGAAGGAGAGGAAGGGCACCTGGAGCCTTCACTGGGTGCCAGGACTGTCCAGGCTCAGGGGACACAGAACTGGCACAGAGAAGGCAGTGAGGGCATCTGCTGGGTCACTGAGTGAATGTGCAGAATCTCATTTAATTCTCGAATCCATCTGAGTGTCCTTATTTTGCAGTGAGGAAAATGAGGCTTAGACAGATGCAGAAACTTACCGAGGCCCACACAGCTAGTATGGGGGTGGGGATTCAGACTCAGGTTATTCTGACTCCTGGATGGAGCCTCTTCCCGCTCACTGTGGGAATCAGCCCTAGCTCCACCCCGCCAGCCACCCAGACTCTGTCCAATAGCCCTCTTTTTTTAAGAGAGATTTTTGCTATAGGGCTCATGCACTCACGACAAACAGAGACAGAAAGGAAGAAATCACCCCCCAGGGGAGGCAGCCATGCCACAATCCCTCCTCCTCCATCCTCCTCTTAGCATTTTGGGCACACATACACACACACCTGGTATGAGTTTCAAGCCACTGAATCCAGGACTTGAAACACATGGACTTAAAACATGGTTGGCCATGTGGGAGTCCAGCCACATAACCGTTTTACCATCTGCTGGTCCCTCCAATATCCCTCTTATCCCAGTGAGCACTCAACTGGTCTGCTCAGTAAATGTGGGCAGAACTTTCCAGACACTTCCGCTGCAGCTGGACTTGTGTGCTCTGATTGGGTCAAGGGTCTGCCTCTCTACTCGCTGGTGTTGTCACATGACTCTCTGAGACGCTGGTTGAAGTTCAGATTCCTCGGCCTCTTCCCCACAGATTCGATCAGTGGGTTCTGGGGTGGGGCGCAGGAATCTGCACTTCATCGAGCTTCCAGATGAGCCTGAGACCACGCAAGACTGGGGAGCACTACTTTTGACGAGTGCTCTGTCATTGAAGCCAGGCCCATTCCTGCAAAGCTCCTACAGCCAAGGCTGACGTGAGGACAGCAGATGGCTTGGGGGAGTGGGATGGCTCCTACGGGCACAGCTAAGGAAACAGGTGAATCAAGACTCCACTGTGGGTACTCTGTCCTTGTCACCCAAGCGCTAGACTGGTGGTCAAAGCAGCCCAGCAGAAAACATCTGCATGACTTGTGGCCTGACTTGTATTCCATTTGAGCCTGAGGCAACGTAGGACTTGCAGCATGACAGAGCCTCCCCCATAGCGCCCATCTACACCCTCTGCCTGCCTCAGAGCCACTCCTGACCTGGCAAGTCACCAAGGCTGGAGTGAGGAGCTGGTGACCTCTAGAATACTATCAGACCATCGGATATGCTTGCCTGTCTTCAGGAACCCATTCAGACACAGGAACTTAAGAATAAAAGCACTAGGACCAGCAGTTAGCGTAATGGCTATGTTGCTGGACTCCCATGTAGTCGACCGCGGTTCCAGTCCCAGACCAGTGGCTTAAACTCACGCCGGGCGCATGTGCGTGCATGCCCAAGATCCCGAGAGGAGAATGGAGGAGAAGGGATTGTGGCGTGGCCATCCCCCCTGGGGGGTGATTTGTCGCTTTCTGTCTCACTGCCTTTCTCTGTCTTTCTGGCGAGCGCACATGCCCTATAGCAAAAACCTCTCAAAAAAAAAAAAAATTTGATCCCTAGTTGGGACCAGCAGATGATGTAATGGCTACACAACTGGATTCCCAGTTACGGGAATCAACCACAGTTGACTGCAGTTTGAGTCCCGAGCCTGGCAACTTAAACTCATGCCAGGGGTGTGTGTGTACCCAAAATCTCAAGAGGAGAATGGAGGAGATGGGATTGTTGCATGGTCATCCCCTCTGGGGGTGATTTATTTCTTTCTGTCTCTCTGTCTCCCCAGTGAGCACATGTCAAAAGTCTCTCTATAGCAAAAGTCTCTCACTTAAAAAATGAAAAATAAAAAGAATTTAGTCCCTAGTGTATTGGCACTGGGAGGCAGGGAGACTTTTAAGAGAGGGGGCCCAGTAGGCAGTGATGGGATCGTGAATGGATTAATGCAAGGCCAGGGAATTCTAGCTCTCGTGAGAAGGAGTCAGTCCTCATCAGAGCAGGTTGTTGTAAGGAGTAAATCTCAGGTCTCTCCCAGCACGTGCCTGCGTGCTTTCTGCTCCTTTAAGCCTTGTGATGCCAGCCTCATGCCTCTGGGACTTCTATTCTTTATAAACCACCCTGACTCCTGTCCTGTGCTAGTAACACAGTGGTGGACTAAGACACCATGCAATCGAATGTTATTCAGTCTTGGAAAAGGAAGGAGATTGAGACACATGTCACAGCAGGGTTGGGTCTGAGAATATTATGTGAAGTGAGATGCGCAAGTGAAAAAGGACAGATTCTTCCACTTCTGTGAAGTACCTGGAGTAGTCAGATTCACAGAGACAGAAAGCAGGTGATGGGAAGGGGAAGTGGAGAGCAACTGTTGAGTGGGTGCAGAGTTTAATTCTGCGAGATGAGAGGAGCTCTGGATGTGGATGGTGGGACGCTTGTGCAACAACCTGCCCACAATGCTGCTGAGTCGTACATTTAGAAATGGCAAAAGCTGGCCCAGCTGTGGTGGCGCCCAAGCAGCGTCACCACTGGGAGGCTGTCAGCCTCATGGGAGACCCAGGTGTGGTTCCCGGGCCAAACCAGTCATGCCATGTCTGCAATCCAGCTAACTGGGAGGCTGGGGCAGGAGGCCCATGATAGCAGTCAAGACCCTGTTAAAATGTCTATCTCTGTCTTGCTCTCTTTCTCTCTCATACAGGAAAAAAAAAAAAGTTAAATTGGCCTATTATATGTTAGATATGTTTTACCACAATAAAAAAGAAAGAGGATTGAAAACCAACCCCCCACCCCCGCAATCATACTACCAGGAGTGAACTCTCATGTAACCATGGACTCTAGTAGTCAAGGTACTCATCTATTGTCACTAATGTCCCTCTGTGGGGAATGTTGCTAAGAGGAAGCTGGCATGTGTGGGGGCAGAAGATTTCTGGGAAATTCCTGTATTTCTGTTCCATGTTGCTGTGAATCTAAAACTGCTCTTAAAAATAGTCTCCTTAAAAAAGAAGAAAAAAAAACAAAATCCTTGTCCTCAGAGAACAGCCACACCCCCACGTTGGCCACCATGGCCTTGAGACTTACGTATTGCAACAGTGAATCCCATAATGGCCGCAAGAACATTGCTCACAGTTCTCGGTCTTCCACTTTGACTTCAGTGGGTGTACGACTCCTTCCTTATCCTTGCACCCTACAGCAGTACACGAGGCATTATCAGTGGAGTCCCCAGCTCACGCAACAGGAACCAACCTGTCAGGACCTCAAGGTCAACACCTGCCATCTGTGCCCCTCCCGGAGAGGAAGAAGCAGCACGTCCATGTTTCAGGTGTTGACGGAGAGTGCTGCTCTAGGGACCAGCGGGTGGTGTGGTGGTAAGGCACTGGACACTCCCATGTAGCCGACCATGGTTTGAGTCCCGGACCTGGTGGCTTGCTTTCTCACTTTCGGGGGGGGAGGGGAGGGGGAGTGTCTGGTCAAATTAAAAAATAAATGAATAAAGTTAAATAAATTTTTTTTTGTTTTTTGCTATAGGGTGCGTGCACTCACCAGACAGAGAGAGACGGAGAGACAGAAAACGAGAAATCACCCCCCAGGGGGTTGGTCACGCCATAATCCCTCCATTCTCCTCTCAGGATCTTGGGCACGCATGCACATGCACCCGGCGTGAGTTTAAGCCACCAAGTCCAGGACTCGAACCGCAGTCAGCTACATGGGAGTTCAGTGACATAGCCATTACGCTACCTGCTGGTCCCTAAATAAATAATTTTTTTTTAACTTTTTAAAAATTATTTATTTATCCACTCATTTATTTTTTAATTTGACCAGAGAGAGACACAGAGAGAGAGAGGGAAAGTGAGAAAGCAAGCCGCCAGGTCCGGGACTCGAACTGTGGCCAGCCATGTGGGAGTGTCCAGCATCTTAACCACCCCGCCACCTGCTGGCCCCAATAAATAATTCCTTTTTTTAAAAAAAAGGAAAAGTGTTGCTCTACTTGCCCATGGCCAAACACCTGCACCGAACAGCTCACTGATGATGTTATCCTAGAGCAAGCTTCAGTCCTTCCAGAAAAAATAAGGTCTTTTGGGGCTGGCACGTGGCATGCTGGTTAATAGCGCTAGACTCCCACATGGCTGACCACGGTTCGAGTCCTAGGCCTGGCGGCTTGCTTCTTCACTCTCTGTCTCTTTTCTCTCTCGCTCTGTCCCTCTCTGGTCAAATTAAAATAAATAAAGTTAAAAAAAAAAAAAAGAAAAAGAAAAAAGAAGGTCTTTCTCCTGGATAAATACCTCACTTCTTTTTGTTTTGCATCAGAGGGTCACAACTCTGGGTGTACATGTGAAACATCTTAGGTACTTTAAAACATCTACACCAGGGTTCTGCCCCAGGGCAGTAAAATCAGAGTCTCTGGTTGCAGGGCCCAGGCCACCACATGTTCAGAAAGGTTCTCAGGTGATTCAAATGTTCAGCCAAGGGTGAGAACCGCTGCTGTAGATCCTTGGAGACCTGATGGTGCTTGAAGGACCAGCAGCTTAAGCATCCCCAGGGCCATGTTAGACCTGCAGACTCTCACATGGCCTCCAGCTCCACTGATGCAGAACCTGCATTTTTGTAAATTAAATTTTGCTTGGCCTGTGTACTCACCAGAGAGAGACAAAGAGAGAGAAAGAGATAGAAAAGACACTCTCCTCACCTCACCCACCCCCAGGGAGATGTCCCTGCCACAATCCCTTCTCTTCCCCTCTCCTCTCTGGACTTGGGCATGCTTGCACACCTGCCCAGTGTGTTTCTCAAGCTGTTGCATGTGGGACTTGAACTGCTCAGCTAGCTATGTGGGATCCTGCCACCAACACCAGCTGGCCTCTTCATTTTACCAAGATCCTGAGAGGCTCGGTATGTACATTGGGGTTTGAGAATTATACTCTCGAATATGCAGTGGTTCTCATGCGAAAGTCAAAGAAGGAGCCTTTAAACCCCAGAGATTCAGATTATCTGGACTTTGGATGGGGCCTGAGCAGTAAGAAATTCTGAAAGCTCCTTAGGCAATTTTCATCTGACTAGGATCTTATGTAAATGGAAACTTAAATTTTCTCATTTTATTCGGTTTTGATGTCTTCTGTAGCCCTCCTTCTCATGTAAATTCAAAACCTTTCAGCCACCATCCAGTCACATCTACTGGGTTGCAAAAATAATAAACATTGAAAAACTAGCACTTACCAGTGGATAAATCATTTGGAGTTACTTCCTTGCGTATGGTATAGCACTGTGCATTGCAGAAGGTCACAAAGGCGGCGAAGACCAGGAGGCTGCCCAGAACATTCTGTAACATAAAGAAGGGCCCTGGGTGGAGAGCGACTGAGTGGCACCTAAGTGGATCCCTGCCTGGCCCTAGCCAGTGGCTATAAACCTATCCTCAGAAACCTAGCGAGGAGCAAGACCTACGTCAGTCACTGACAGAAACTACAAAGAGCTAAATGTGTGTCAAAAGTCACAGAGCCAGGACCAGTGGGTGGCATGGTGGTTAAAGGCGCTGGACTCCCACATGGCTGACCATGGTTCAAGTCCCAGATCTGGAGGCTTGCTTTCTAACTCTCGCTCTCTGATCAAACTGTAAGATGATAATAACTATATAAAGTTAAATAAAATAATTCTTTTTTAAAAAGTAAAAAAATGAAGTCACAGAGCCACAATGCCAGCATGCAATTTTCTTACAGAGGACATCTGAGAGACCCTCGAAGATTGGGGGATTGCTAGCTGCTTCACTAGATGCACAGAATTTAAGAGACAGAACCAAGGGAGTGAAAGAGACTTTTCAGAAGAGAATGAAACGCTGGCAAACATACAAATGTAAAAGTACAGTTGGAGGCTTGCTGGAGCTCTGGGCTACTTGGAGATGTGACTGGAAAGAGAGGTTAGGGCTGGGCTGTGAACACCGTGAGGCTGAGAACTTTTCCCCATTCCAAAGTTGATGGCATAATGGCTACATTGCTGGACTCTCATGTAGTTGACCGGGGTTTGAGTTCCGGACCCAGTGGCTTAAACTCACACCGGGTGCGTGTGCATGCATGCCCAAGATCCCAAGAGGAGAATGGAGGAGAAGGGATTGTGGCATGGCCATGCCCCCTGGGGGGTGATTTCTCACTTTCTGTCTCTCTGTCTCTGTGTTTCTGGCAAGCACACATGCCCTATAGCAAAAACCTATCCAAAATAAAAAGAGGGGTTAAATAAAATTTATAGGAGGTCTAGACTGAGCTCCTGCACCAGGCCCAGCAGAACAAACCAGAATGGACTTACGTGGGCTGCACAATGGACTACATGGTGGTGCACACCACCACACCCAAACCCGGTCGTTTTATCTGACCTTCCAAGAAATCAGGAGAGAAAGCGAGTAGACAAGTCTCCACACAAGCCAGCTCTAGCTGCCCTGGTGCAAAGGTCCCTTCTGCTTTAACCTCACATGGAAATAACCAGAAATGATCGATTTGCTTTTTGGTCAGTTTTTTTTTTTTTTCCTAGCCCTTTTCTCTCTGTGAAGCCAAACTCCTCAGCTCAGTTCATCCCACCCCCATAGTCCATTTGGCCACCCACTCTCCCTCTCTGCCCCTCCCTCCTTTTCTTCCTTTCCTGCATCGGTCACCTCTAGCCCCTGGCATGTGCAGGCATGAAGAGTATGGCTGTGGATCTGGCATTTGCTAGGCTTTCTAGGTCATGGGGCTTCCCACCAGCCTTGGGACGAGGCAGACGTGCATTGTCCCTGGAAACTGTCTCCCTTTAGGCAAGTCGCTGCTCCTGGAGGAGTGTCACCCATGGACAGGAGTGAGGGGTCTTCAGGGCCTCAAGCAGGGCAGAAGGATTGCCAGGTCTGCAGCTCACTCAATTCACCCGAGGCCACGTGGAGGATGGGTGAGAGAATAGGGCCTGAGTGGAGACAGGAAGGGCACCCACTCCACTCCACCCATGCTCTCCCACTTCCAACTCCGTCCTGGGACACTTTCTGAGCCTGTGTGACCCAGAGAATAGCCCAGGCCCCTTCCTGAAGACCCTCTTGCTCGTGGCCTCCTCCTGTCTGCCCTCTTCTCCTTTGCATCCCGAGAGAACCCCAGTTCATTCCTATTATTGGCCCTAGCAAAGGACATTTAGGAAAGTCAAGTCTGACTTGCAGTCACAAAGGAGACCCACATGGGTTTTGTAGGTTCTGAAGCAAAAATCTTTAATAGAACACAGCACAGTGAAAGAGCCTAAGGAAATAGTTCCCAAAGTGGCTGAACATTGAAATCACCTGGGCAGCTTTGAGGCTCCCACTGGCTGTGAAAGAATAAAAATGCACTCAAACTACATTCTGTGATAATTAACTGCTTGCTGTTTTTGCTTCTGTACAAAAGCTTGCACCACTGCTTTAGAAAACAGCCCTGAGCTATGCAGACTGCTGGGGCGTGCCTCACTCCCTCGTATCAGCTCAGCTATGTGCAGAAAGTCAGGTCTCTGTAAATTGTGTTACCCCCAGCCCTGAAAAGCCAGACATCTGCTAAACACCCCTGAAGGCTGCTTGTATAGATAAGAAGTTGGCACCAGACCACCGGACCAGTCCCCCACTCCCTCATTCCTCACTCCCCCCTTCACCCCTCAAGCCTGTGCCTATATAATCTGCATGTTTCTTTTGTTCGGGGCTCCACTTCCCTCTGAGTCTGTTGTGACCAGGAGTGGAGTCCTAGCGTGCTAGCAATAAAACCCTCTTGTGTTTTACAGCAAGAACTGACTCTTGTGGTTGATTGGGATTGCCGTGACTCTCCTTGGACTGAAGGGTCACCGGCTATTTGAGTCGGGGGTCTTTCATCTTGGGGGCTTGTCCGGGATGTCATGGTCACCCCACTCTCACGTCAGCCTTGGAGGTAAGCTTTAATCTGTCCAGTTCTCTTACTGTCCGTGTCCTCTGTACTTTCATGTGAGTTGGTACCAAGTCTGGCAGCTGTTTGGGCTATTGTGAAATACCCGAACCTGCAGGAAAACCGCGGTTGGTAAGTTACTCTTTGTTTCTCTCGTTCTGATCTTTATACTCTTGTTTGTGTATTTGACTTATCCATTGACGATGGGACAGACTATGGTGACTCCTTTAACTCTGACTCTTAAGCATTGGACTGAAGTGAAGGGAAGAGGTCGCGACCTATCTGTAGAGATTAGGAAAGGTTTATGGCGGACGTTCTGTACCTCTGAGTGGCCCGCCTTCCATGTTGGATGGCCACCAGAGGGCACATTTGATCTAAAAACTGTTCTTGCTGTTAAGGACATTGTTTTTCAGAAAGGACCTGGAAGCCATCCAGATCAGCAACCGTACATCATCGTCTGGCAAGATCTGATACAAAACCCTCCCACTTGGGTTCGGCCCTGGATTTCCAGGCAGCATTCTGGCTCTCCAGCCACCCCCTCCCGAATTCTAGTGACCCATTCCTCTGACTCAGACCCTCCGAGGACTGTCAAACAAATCTACCTGGAGACTCAAGATCTCCTCCTTCTAGACTCTCCTTCTCCTCCCCCATACCCCCCACCATCCAGGAAGGAACCCGAGGGTCCAGGTGCTCTCCCTGACCCTAACCTTGCCCCATCGGCGCCCCCTGAGAATGCTCCCCTAGGACTGGCGCAAAGTACTAGAAGTCATCGCCAGCAGGCTCAGCCTTCCCCTAATACCACAGATGCCTTGCCCCTGAGGGCGTACGGACCCCCACCAGCTACTGAGGGGGGGCTCCCTGCCTTACAACCACTTCAGTATTGGCCTTTTTCCTCCTCTGATCTTTATAACTGGAAAACTAATCACCCCCCTTTTTCCGAGGACCCCCAGCGCTTGACTGGCCTGGTGGAATCTTTAATGTTTTCTCACCAACCGACCTGGGACGATTGTCAGCAGCTTCTGCAGACTCTCTTTACCATGGAAGAGAGAGAGAGGATCCTGCTAGAAGCCAGAAAAAATGTCCCTGGACCTGACGGGCGACCCACCCAACTTCTTAACCTTATAGAGGCTGCTTTCCCGCTCGCTCGACCAGACTGGGACTTCAATACGGCAGAAGGTAGGGAGCGACTGACAGTCTATCGCCAGGCTCTAGTGGCTGGCCTCCGTGGGGCAGCAAGACGACCCACTAATTTGGCAAAGGTAAGGGAAATTATGCAGGGAGCCTCTGAGCCCCCTTCGGTGTTTCTTGAACGCCTCATGGAGGCTTTTCGGCGGTTTACTCCATTTGATCCTGCCTCTGAGGGGCAGAGGGCTTCTGTGGCTATGGCTTTTATTGGCCAATCAGCATCTGATATTAAGCGTAAACTTCAGAGACTTGAAGGGTTGCAAGACCTCTCATTGCAAGACTTAGTAAAAGAGGCAGAAAAAGTTTATCACAAAAGGGAAACAGAGGAAGAAAAAGAACAAAGAAAAGAAAAAGAGAGGGAAGAGAGGGAAAACAAAAGGGAAAGGAGACAGGAGAGGAATTTAGCTCGGATCCTGGCCACTGTAGTTAAGGAAAGGGAACTAAGGTGTGACCCAGTTAAGGGACACAGGCCTGGGTGCACCCCATTAGAAAAGGATCAATGTGCCTACTGTAAGGAGAGAGGACATTGGGCTAAAGATTGCCCCAAAAGAAAGAAAAAGTTACAAGCTCAACAGAGCCCACCAGCCGAAGTGCTTGCCCTACAGGGGGACTCCGACTAGGGGGGACGGGGCTCGGAGCCCCTCCCCGAGCCTAGGGTAACTCTTAAGGTGGAGGGGAAACCAATTGATTTTCTGGTTGACACAGGAGCCCAGCATTCGGTGTTGCTTACACCATCGGGGACATTGTCTAAAAAAAAATCTTGGGTCATAGGGGCCACAGGACATCAACAATACTCATGGACCACTAATAGAACGGTGGACCTAGGAAAAAGACAAGTAACCCGCTCTTTCCTAGTAATCCCTGAATGCCCTGCACCCTTACTTGGAAGAGATTTACTCACCAAAATGGGGGCCCACATTAGCTTTGCCTCAGGAGGCCCAAAGGTTTCTCTTGACACAAAGACTTTGATCCTAACCATGTGTCTGGAAGATGAACATCGGCTTTTTCAAACTCCTCAGGAAGCCACAGATTCCCTCCAAATCTGGTTACAAAAATACCCAGGGTCATGGGCTGAAACGGCTGGAATGGGACTGGCTGTCAACAGGCCCCCAATCATAATAGGACTTAAGGCCACCACATCACCCGTGGCAGTACGCCAATATCCCATGACCCAAGAGGCCCGAGAAGGCATTCGGCCCCACATTCAGCGCTTTTTAACTTTGGGCATCCTAAAAAAGTGTCAATCACCCTGGAACACCCCCTTGTTGCCTGTTAGAAAG